TTCATGATGGGTAAAGTCTTTTTACAAGCAAAATGAGAAATAGCGATTGACTGTTTGAAAAAAATAATAATAATGATGATGATTGGGAAAAACATAGAAAAGATATTGAATGATGAAGTGGGGAGATTAATGTCTCTGTATTGAATGACATGCATGGCATTCCCTTTTGAAAAAGCAATGTAATACACTGTCAAGTTATATGTAATCCAATGTAATATAAAGAAGATTATGATGATAAAAATAAAAAATTTAAAAAAAAAGATTACTCTGGGAGGATGGCCATGCCACAATCCCTCCTCCTCCATTCTGTTCTCAGATTCTGGGCACACACACATATGAGCCTGGCCAGCCATGTGGGAATTTAGTGCCTTAACCACCATGCCACCTGCTGGCTTTTTATTTTTCTATTTTCACTCTCCACAAATGATCAAAATTCTTCATCATATGCCATCGAAATGGACATTACTTGATTATATAAGCATCTTAAGCTTCCATGATTTAAGTCTCCATTCCACTGGGAAGCTCATATTTACTATTTGTATAAGTAGAAGGCATTTCTTTCAATGCCTTCTACATTTCTTTATTTGATTTGTCTTCCACCTCCCTGCTTACTGTTGTTTGTAGTTACAAAATAAATAAATAATCAGAAGGAGGAGTAAGAAAACAAGGGAAAGGAGGAAGAGCAAAAGGGATGAGAAAAGGAATGAGAGAAAAGTACTGCAGCTGCAGATCTGGGCTAGCAATCCCATAGGGCCAGTATCCTTCCAGCAACAGAGCAGGAGCCATCCTTTGCTGCTGAGAGGAGGCCAGAAACCACCTTCACTGCTCCTTACAGTAGGCGGCTAGACTTTCTTCACCAAAGGAATCACCTAAGGAGCTTGCTAAGACGTTATTTCTCAGGACCAGCCAATGGCATACTGGTTACATCTCTGAACTTCCACATAATCAACTGTAGTTCGAGCCCCAAACACAGCAGCTTAAACTCACATCAAGCACATGTGCATATGTGCCCAAAACCCCGAGATGAGAATGGAGGAGAAGGGATTGCAGCATGGCCATTCCCCGCCGAGGGGGTGCTTTCTTGCTTTCTGTCTCTCTGTCTCTCTCTGTCTCTCTGGCAAGTGCACATGCGCTAAAGCAAAAATTTATCTTAAAAAAAAAAAAAAAAAAGATGTGATTTCTCTGTCTTACTCTGCAGATTCTGGCTCCCTAGACTTGAGGTAAGGGGGTTTGTAATCCGTTCATAACAGTACTAAATCCGTAATTATCAAACTTGATTCTGCATCTGAGTTACTAGGAGGATTTGTTAAAACACATAAAATCCCACCTGAGTTTCTAATTATGTCTTGGATGGTACCTAAGAATTTGCATTCTAACAAAGCTTCCATGTGATACGGATATTCCTGGTGGGGGAAACGACACTTTGAGAAACATTTTCCTAAATAATTCTTATAACCAGGTGAGTTCGAAAAGAACCACCATAACACATTTCTCTGAAGTTATCATTGGAATGATATATTCTGTTTTTTCTCCAACCTCAAAATTACCCTGAGTAAGATGTTACACAATGACTTTCTGCGAGCCAGAAATCAGATTCCAACACTTTTCTGTGACCTCTTTGTAGAAGAAATGAAGAGGAAGCCCAGTCTACTGGGTTTTCTCTATCACGGTAAACACACTGGTATAAATCATATAAGATAATTTAAGCACCAAGGCTTGAATTATACATCACAAAGAGTTAATACCACAACACACCAGGAGAGAGAAAGCCCTCGAGAGAACAGCGAAGGCCGTCAGAGTCTGTATTCCCGGGTCACGCTCAGATCTCTGCTATGTCACCACGTAGCACCTAGAGGAATGAGCAAGGACTAACTTCGTGAAAACTGATCCAGGCACGCCTATCATTTAGAGATCCAAATTGGGCCATCGGGGCTTTAGGAATGGTGCTCCACAGCTCTGTCCAGCCACTATAAACCCAAGCCGGTTGTATCACTACTTTCCATGAGGAATTTAAGGGGTGTGACTGCATCCTTTCCAACCCTGCATTCCACATGTGACAAAACTGATCCAGCTGTTTGTCTGAAAGAAATTCCTTGCTGTCCTTAAAAATTAAAAAGCAAGTGGATATCCGTCCTCCAGGGGCAAGTCTCCAGCTGGAACCTGGTACAGGCGGTTGCGAAACAGACAGTGCCCTGGAGAGCATCTGCTTTTGAATTCTTACCTCGCCATAAGGGGGTTAGCCCCATCTTGCTTTTTGAAATGGCAGATTCTGGATGGAGAGTGCTGGCTTGGCCCAAAGCTCTTGAGAAGTGTTCATCCACTACTGACCCAATGTCTCCCTGGAAATAAGTGAAAAGGACACAGCGAGAGTTAAGGTACTCCGCGGCAGGCTGGTCTTTCTCCTCCTCCTCCTCCTCCTCATCCTCCTCCTCCTCCTCCTCTTGTTTGCTGGGAAGGGTGACTTCCAGAGAGTCCTGCATCTTGCTGTATACCGCTAACTTCTTCTGGGATGGAATAAACAAAACACAGTATCAAAGACAGTTTGTAAGAAAGCATTAACTAGTTAACTTTTCACTTAAAAAAAAATAATCAAAACATTAACATATGTTTGCAAACTGATTCTTCTTCATCTGCTTAACTCCATTTTTTCCCTCCCCAAACCAGTTGATTCCTTCCCACACTGGAAAAAGGTCTATTATTCCAAATTTGGCAAACATGGCAAAACAAAACACGTCTATTATCAAGTGGTATATTTTGAGAGTGTGTAAGACAAGATTTTGTTTCTTGTTTTTTTTTTTTTTTAAAACTCAGTTATACCAAAAAGAGAATGACTAAAAAAAAAGTGACAGATTCCTTCTAGTTTTTCTCCCATTTTTGATTTACTTATAAAGATTAAATGTGCACTAATTTTATTGCATCAGATGTAATTAAATAAATAAATAAGAGGGCTAGAAGACCTCACTGCCAGGGAGTGGTGTGTGGAAGAAAGGAACTTTTTATAGATGAAATAAGCTAAAATAAAAACAGGAATGTAGCATCTTATAAAAGGTTTTGGCAGATGTGCTGAACTCATTTCTGAAAAATCAAACTAAAATGACAAAATAAGTCTGTGTGAAGATCCATTTTGCATGGAACATATTTTTCAGATGTTCCACTTACCACCATTATCATAGAGGGGAAAAAGTTTTTATTATGGTTGATTGAAAATAATACAAGATACTAGCCGTGACTAACTTTTCAAATAAAAGTGAAAAAGGTGCAATAATTTAAAGCATTTTAAAAGCACATGGTTATAGCTACAATCATAATTTACATAAAATATACGATGATTATAAATAATGTATATTATAGCAGGTATGTTTAAAATGTCTTATTTACTATCTTATTTCATCTTTATAATCTTATACTATGGTTATTATTACTGTCTATTTTTTACAGAGCATGTGAGCAGTACAACTAGAATGCATATTAAAAACATGCGGGTATAGATAGATATGTATGTGCACATATGTGTTGGAGGAGGGGAGGGAATGGACAGATTGAACAGAAAAAATAAAAGCACCAAAATGCTGTATTTAATATTGTTGTTCTCGGTGGTAAGTTTGCAATTAATTTTTATTTTCCTATTCCTGCTTTCTAGTATTGACAAAAATTTCAATGAACACATATACTTGTACTATCAGCTACTTCAACGTGAACTACATATAAGAAGATAATGCAAAAGATTATTAAAAAACAGTATTCTAGTGACCTAATGATTTTTCTACATCATCTATATATTTCCAAAATATATAATCCTTTCTCTCACTACTTTTCATATTTAAAAAAATAAGTGCTTGCTGAAAAATTAACATGGAACAATAAGTCATCCCAGAGTAGTTGGTAGGTTTATAAATTTTATCAAAACACATAACCCAGTTTCTGTGTTTCTAAATTAAATACTAGATTCGATATCTATAGCCTCAAATTATAATGCTTTATTCAATAAATTGAACACTGTTTCCTAGAAATAAAGCAATAAATATATTGTTCTTGAATGAACTTGGTCCTGAAATATTTAGGAGCTAGTTATTATTTTAGGGTTGCTATTTATAAATATATATATATGTGTGTGTATACACACACACACGTATTTATCTTTTGATTTAAAAATTATATCAATATGGTTATCACCTGTTGGTGCATAGATATTTCATTCCCTCTAAGTAGATATGCCTTTATAATTAACAGGTGACTGTAATAACTGGTTATGTTTCTTATAAGCTACTTTTGCACAGATATGAATATCCTTTTATTTAACCTCAGTGGTAAAAGCACCATAGTAACACAGGATATGTGCAAAAATGAGAGTATTGAGATAAATGATCTCTACGATTATTCCCAGTTTTAAATTCCGTTAGAAAATTAAATGATTAGGATTTTTTAGCCAAACCACAGTGCGTTCTGTGTGTGCGTAATTACACAAAATATAACAGCACTGAATATATGTACATACGCTCCACTGAATTTTCTAGCCTATTAAAAAAAGCATTGTTTTACTATGGAAGAGTAATTAAAAGTTATCTACAGAGTGGCCTCAGTGTCCACAAGTGTTCATTATTATCTGTAAAACTAATTTCTTTTTCTTTGTATTGTCTAGCCCAGCATCACGTTATGAGAGCCAGGGTTTGCATATAATCGTTTCATTTGTTTAATTTTAACATTTATTCTTCAAATGAAAGAGCTCTGGCTGTGTTACTTATCCAAATAAAGGCAACATCTTAGCCTACCCTCAATTAACAACAATTATTAGGCTAAATAAAATTAATTAAAGTTTTATATACATATTTAAAAGATTTGAAAACTGTGAACCTTGACACAAAGGTAAAAGAATATTATGATCAATAATGACAATAAAAAAATCTTAAGTTTTAAATTAATGGCAATTGAATTTAAGCTATAGATTTTTAACCCACTTAAGAGTACACAATTTTCTTTTTTGAGTTTATTTTTATTCATAATAGCCTGCACATGTGCATGTACAAGAGGGAGAGGAGAAAGAGAACCCTCAATAAGTCCTGTCATGCTGCGATCCTCTACCCTTCGACTTCATAAGGATCTTGGGTGCATATATGTAAGGCTAGAGAGATCACACAATTTCCTAAATCCTACATCAGTTTGTGTTTTCCTCCTACTGATTGTTAAATGGTTAAAGACACATAAATTAACCTAAAAATTGCACACAGTTTTCAATATGCAGTGAGAAAAAAGTAACCAGACTCTGCCATTGTATCAACATATCTTTCATTAGCCTGTTTTTTTAAAAATCACCCTTCTGTCAACACAACCATTGATTTTCTATGTGCTTTATATTTCAGATATATGTAATATATCTATAAATGATACATATTTATACTGAAATATTCCTTTTTAACGTTGGACACACTTGTTATTCAACAAAAGTATCTAGATCAACGCCAGTTTGCTTAGAATAAGTATAAAAGATTTTTTTTCCTCTCACTCTAAATTTTTAATGAAGTTTTTCAACTAATGAAATAAATTCGCTTAGAGACTATGAAGGCAAATAAAATGAAAAGGGGACCTCTGATACACCTGCCAATAGGCAGGACATAAGAATGTTTGTTATTCCCACTTGCACTTTTTCAGCTAAAGTTGGATTAATTTTCATACATTAAAGTAAGAAAATTTAAATATTTACACTTGGCATTTATCTCTCTCTCACACATACACACTCACACAGGTTTATAGCCTCACAATTGACATTACTAGTTAAAATAACAATCTCAAAATATCTAAATGGCCTGATACCTACCTAATGTGCTAAGTTAAATTTGTATACTTTTTTCAATACTAAATATGAGCATGAAGAAAAGAGAAACACAAAATTTGAGCAGAAATTGATTTATATGCTGCCATTCAGACAATCCTGATTTTCTTCTCATAGACTCCAAAGCCTCAACTACTTTCTAGTATCTGTCATTTGGTACACTAATTTGACTGTACACTAATTTTTTACCTTTTCTTTTTAACTAAGCCCATTATTTATGTGAGCCTTTGCCATATTCTGTATTCACTTGGTGTTTTCTCCTTGGAATGAAACTTTCCCGGTGTTAACATTCCTTCTTGGTAATAATATATACATTTTAAAGCTTTAAAATGTTGAGTTTAAATCTAAATTGTCAGAATCTAGTTTTTCTAAATCAAGGTAAAAATGTAATTGAGTTCATTTCATGCTCAAAATACACAATTACTTTTTAAAAATATCCACATATCTCAGAAATATTCTTGCTTTCCTCAAAAGACCCTGAAGAATTGTTAATGAAAATAAAGAAGTCATTAAAAAGGACTTGGAAACTACAAATTGGTTTACCTAACGCACATTCATTCTCATCACCACTGTACAGCAATGATGATGTTTCCCCAGGTGGAAAGACCTGGGAGCATGGTGAAACAACAACAGATTAGCAGGTTAACAGCCTGGCAGCTGGCTTTCTCAGCGCTCTCCCCCCCCCCCCCCATGCCCCAT